GACCGGAAGGTGAAAGGCATCTTCTGCCGAAGCAAAGAGCTGAACAAATAGTAAACCAGTTCCAAAATGCCAAAAGCAATGAAAGCAATGAACACTAGAAGAAAGGTCTTTTTCTTTCTTTCTTTTTTTTTTTGGCAATGGAAATTAATCCCCCCCACCATCAGCACCCCCTTCCGTCCCGTGTTGTTGCAGGACTTGCATGCAGCAGATGCCAGAGCTGGATCCTCAGGCTCCTGGGGTAGCTCAGGTCAGAAGGGCCCTCAGGACGTCTCAAGTTAGTCCAACCTCCTGCCGAAGCAGGGTCAGCTCAGGGCTTCATCCAGGCAGCACTTGAAAATCTTCAGGGATGGAGGCCTCACAACCTCTCTGGGCAACTTGTGCCAATGCTTGACTTGTCCCTACGGTGCAAAGAAATTCTTCTCACATCTAGTGTGAACTGCTCTTGTGTCAGTTTAGGCCTGTTACTTCTCCCTCTGCCATCATGCACTGCTGGCATGATGGGAGCCAGGCTGATCTCGTGATTCCAGTGTCTCTAGCATTTAGGAAGAGACAACATAAATAGGGGACAAGAGCAATATGAGTGTTTTTCTAAGTACAGCCAACTAAACTCGAGAGAAATTAGGCAGTTCCATATAGGGAATGGCAGAAAAAACCTCGGCAAGAGCTTAGGGAATTCAGTCTAGGAGAGAACTAGGAATGGATCAGAAAGGTAGGAGTTGCTATTTCTCGGGAAAATTGCTGACATAAGGTTCCAGTTTAATTTAGGACTAGCGAGTAATTCAACAGGGTGATAACAGCAGTAAAGGGTGTGTGGAGAAATGACACCAGTTCTGTATCATAATACCCATTAAATAAAAGTAATAAATTGAGGCAAAACATAGGTAGCTCCCCGATTTGTGTGCTAATGTGATCTTGAGAAGCTGTGCCCAGACGGCACTGGAAATTGCAAGCAGGACTAATTACCTCTGTTCTACCTCTTCTGATTTGTTCCTGAAGCAGCAGTGAGAAGATAGCATGTGTTTCTCAGCTGCTGCGCGGCCTGGGGATGAGCTGCACAGTAATTCATAGGATCTGAGGACTACTGAGGCTGGGAGGGATTGCAGGCCTCCCCTCCAACCTCCTGCCCAAAGCAGGGTTGTCCATCAGGTTGGACTCTCTTCCCCAGAGCTTTATCCCATTGCGTCCTGAAAATCCCCAGGGATGGAGATGATGATACAGCTCTCTGGGCAGCGTATTCCCTGTTTGATCAGAAGAGATGTAGGAGATAACTGTGAAAATGTTCAATACCGAACAGGAAAGCAGCAGGTAAAGCAGTTCCATTTGACCTGAAATAGCCCTACTAAATCCGTAACAGTTGCTTACTCTCAAAAATAATGTTCTGCACACAGAACATTAATTCCTTCTTTCACCTTTCGTATGTCAAAACACTTCAGACGAGTCCAACATCACACAGCAACCTGTTCGCGTGGAAGGAAGCCTCCTGTGGAACAGGGCACACGTTTTCTCTCTGGAAGCCCATAGGGAGAAGCAGAGGGCAGTGACACGGAGATGAGGCCTTGGGTGGCAGCCGGTGCCTGCTGCGTTGGCCGGGGCTGTGGGGCTGCGGGAGGGCGGCCCTGGCCGGCGCAGCCTCCTCTGCGCGGGTGTCGCGTGCGGGTATTTTCCCAAGGCTTCCCAGGCACCACGGGAATTGTAGTGGTGTTTTTGAGGAAACAAAATATCTCAGAGTAGTAATAAAAACTTATACTGCCCTACCTCTTAAGAGCCAATAGCATAAAATTAGGCTTCTAGTGTGTTAATGCTGCATGAAAACAGTGAAAAATCATAGTTTATTGTTAAAGACTTTATAGCCTAAGTAAAAGACAAGTGAAAGGCTGATGAGGGAGCACAGAGACACTCTGCATTCTATCACTCATGCAGAGCTGATATTCAACACGGAAGGAAAGCTCATAGCTTTGGGAGGAGGAGGTGTTTGTGTTTGGCCTTGAGAGGGGTTACAAAGAGCAAGATGATGTGAATAGAGCAGCAGGTGAGAAATACTCAAAACAACCCTCGCCATTAGTTCTTACATCAATCTTCTTGCAGATTAAGCCCATAAATGGCTCAACGGTTGGGGAAGACTGATTAAAAAGGATCAATATTACTAATTAACATATAGGCTATTCATTTCTTTGAAGCTACTTCAAATCTTTTGTCAAAAATCTGAAAAATACTGGCTGACCAGTTACCTATGTATTTATAAAGCTAATGTCTTAAAAATACTTGTTAAAGCAGACAAAAACACAAATGCTCCTCTTAGAACTTCAGTAAGGTCTACCTTTGACTACGTTACATGGCCACAGTAGCAGAACAGCCTAGAGAAGTGCTTTCCATGATAGTCTGGAAGACCTTTCAAAGATGCATAACTTTAATATTTAATATTATTTGTAAACTTCAGAAACGAAGTCTTATGCTGTCCAAGCCTTTCTCTCAAATTCTTCTACACTGCTGCAGTTTGCAGTGGTTCTTTGGGAGTAGGAGGCTTCCCAGAGCAGCAGTTGCTGCAGCCCTGCCCTCAGAGATCTGTGTTGACCCTTTCCAAGTGTTTTGTTTTCAACGTATGTGGTGAGCCGGTGCAGGGAGGGGATCCTGCCCCTCTCCTCAGTTCTGGGCAGGCCGCTAGACAGGCCCAGCTCGCTCAGTCCCTTCATCATCCTCGGGGCCTGCACTGGGCCCTCTTGAGAAGCTCCATGTCCTTCTTGTGCCGGGGAGCAAGGATCAGCACCCAGTACTCGCAGAGCTGAGCACAGGGACAGGATCCCCTCCCTCGACCGGCTGGTTGAACCCAGGCAGTTCCACCTCCATGTGAGGAAGAACTTCTTTGCTGTGGGGGTGCCCGAGCCCTGGCACAGGCTGCCCAGAGAGGCTGGGGGGGGCCCTCCCCCGGGTGGTGCACCTGCACCCTCGCTTGTTTTTTCTGGAGCCGGGTCTGGACGTGGTGGTCCCTGGAGGTGCCTTCCAACCTCGACCATTCTGGGATTGTGTGATTTTTTTTTAGGAAATTACCGGGCAACATGGCAAGATATTGCTGGGTCCAGGGAGTTTTGTTTGGGGGGAGTTCTTTCTTTTTCCTCCAGTTCTTGCCCACCCACAGGATGACAAGGTCAAACAGGCTACTGAGCAGATGACCAGCTGAACTGTTTGGTCATTGGACTCTTGTCCTTCAGGATGTGGACAGATCTGCTCAAACAAGTCTATTTAAACAGAGACCAGTGGCACAGATAAGAGGTGATACGGTTATGTGTGTGTGTGTGTGTAAATAGGCATATATGCATATTGCACTTTTTTTTTTAATTAGTAAAGCCGGTTCAACGTGAAGCCTGAGTGAGTGTGCTTTTCTTGAGATTACTCAGAAGTTGCTATGACAGGCGAAGGAGCCTCAGTCCTCCCCGTTGCACGTCTCTCATGCTGGTGTTGTCACAGGAATTGCTAAGGTTTGCCACGCTCTGGACTTCCTCAGCGAAGGCTCTTGGTGCATGCAGGAGGCACAGAAGGACCTGCGGCCTCACTTAAATGTACTTGTTTTCTTGCAAGTGCAGCCTGGCGTGCACTGCTCCCTGCATTAGCAATGCAGCTGAGCTCTTCCCCCTTGCGCCCCCCGTTCCTTCTTATGTTGCCTGGTTTCTTTTTCAGGGAGAAAGAGCTATGGGCTGTGCCCGAAACACCTGCTCAGAAGCTGCCGTAGATCGAACTGTTGTCTGATACCGTAAGGTACAAACTATTTCCTGTGCCTTAGTGACTCTGGTCACCATCATCTGCCCTCTAAGTATTTTGAATTCCTTCCACCCATCAGTATTTGCAATATGCAATATATATGCAATACTTTCCAACATTGTGAACATGAGCTAAAATAAACTCGGGGAGATGTGGAGCCAAGGAAAGCTGTGAAAGAGTAAGAAGGAAGGTGCTTAAAGAAAATGGGGCTTTGGAGTGAAGCTGTTGGGAATATTACTTGGAGACAAGCTCAACTTTGCGCTCACTGTTCTGTGCAACTGCAGAGGGAAAAATTATGCTTTTATTACTACAAAGGAAAAAATAACATACTTGTTCTGATGCTGTAAGAAGAGAGTGTGTCTGCCTTGCACTAAACAATAATATCACTGAGATGATGAACATCTGCTTCACAAATCATATTGTGTATGGTAAAATTAAACATATATATAGGGTTGTCTTTTAAGAACATTCATTTCTTGACTTAACATTCACGTTGAGGCCAACACTAACACTAGTAGAACACAGGCAGTAGGGTTGTAGGGACTCTCCGCTCCCCTATGTACAGTCTCCCAAGCTACAGTGTATTTCTCAGGGACAATGTTCTGCAAGGTTGTTTGTGTCCCATGTCTGCTCTCAGACATTTGAAAAAAAATCAAGAAACCATATGCAGAGGAGTTGCACCTGGAAGCTTGATTCCCATCCGGGTGGCCTTTCCGTGGCAGCAAACAGCACTTCATGGCTTTGCGGTGCCCCCGAGGCCTGGGACGGGCTGTGCCCTGGCATTCCT